CAGTGGGGAGGGCCCCCACGCCCTGGCCCCCATTCCCCAGATCACACACAGACCAGGCACCCTGTCTGAGCTGGGGATTCTGCACCCGAAGTGTCCTGACCTCTGGCCACGACGGCCTCAGGGGCGCCCTTCTGCCACGCTCCCACCCCTCGCCAGGGCGTGCGGGCAGGAAGCACTCAGAGTGGAGCCCTCACAGGAAGCAGGAGTCCTCCTGCTCCTCCACCCGCTGCCTAGGCTCATCATTTTTAAAAAATATATATATTTTATTGATTTTTTTTTACAGAGAGGAAGAGAGAGGGATGGAGAGTTAGAAACGTCGATGAGAGAGAAACGTCGATCAGCTGCCTCCTGTACACCCCCCACTGGGGATGTGCCCGCAACCAAGGCACATGCCCCTGACCGGAATCGAACCCGGGACCCTTCAGTCCGAAGGCCGACGCTCTATCCACTGAGCCACAGGTTTCGGCGGGCTCACTGTTCTTAACTCCAGCGTTTGATGAGTTTGAGACAACCATCCATCACGTGATTGAAACCCCGCTGAGAACCAGCTGCTGACGGCCAGGTTCTCAGCGGGGTTTGGATCCCCAGCTCAGACAGGGTGCCTGGTCTGTGTGTGATCTGGGGAATGGGGGCCAGGGCGTGGGGGCCCTCCCCACTGGGGACCTCTGGCTCCTGTCCTCTGCACACCACGGTCCCCGCCAGCCCCTTCCTGCCCCTCCCAGCCATGGGGGGTTGTGACTCGGTGCATCTCCTTCCTTAAAAAACACCAGCATGGCCGAAGCCGGTTTGGCTCAGTGGTAGAGCGTCGGTCTCCGGACTGAAGGGTCCCAGGTTCGATTCCGGTCAAGGGCATGTACATTGGTTGCGGGCACATCCCTGGCAGGGGGTGTGCAAGAGGCAGCTGGTCGATGTTTCTCATCGACGTTTCTATGTCTCTATCTCTCCCCCTTCCTCTCTGTAAAAAATCAATAAAATATATTTTAAAAAACAAAACAAAACAAAAAAAACACCAGCATGCGAAACCGGTGTGGCTCAGTGGATAGAGCGTCGGCCCACGGACTGAAAGGTCCCAGGTTCGATTCCGGTCAAGGGCATGTACCTTGGTTGGGGGCACATCCCCAGTGGGAGGTGGGCTGGTGGCAGTTGATGGATGATTCTCTCTCATCGATGTTTCTAACTTTTTATCCCTCTCTCTTCCTCTCTGTGAAAAATCAATAAAATATATTTAAAAAACAAACAGAAAAACCCACCAGCGTTCACCCAACGCCAGCCCGTCATTGGTCCAAGGCTCAGTTAATTGACAGGAGAAACGGAGCGGAGGCGGGGCTTAGCCAGCGGAGGCACCTGGGAGCCCCCCACGGAGGCGGTGCCCACGTGACACAGAAAGCGGCGTGTGTGCAGGAGATGAGGATGCGAGGGACACACACACACACACACGCACACACGAGAGCCTTCACTACGGTCAGAGGTTGTGGGTTCGAGCCCTGACGGGGCCATCGCTCCACACGGCCCACAGCATCCATTCCTCCCCCAGGGCAAACGTGTCTCAGTCTCAAGGTGCAGAGCTGGGCCCGGCCAGTGTGGCTCAGTGGATAGAGCGTCAGCCTGCGGACCAAAGGGGCCCAGGTTCGATTCCGGTCCATCTGGACCGTGGACAACTGGGCTGGGGTGCGGGGGGGCAAGAGCCAAAAACATGTTCTTAACCCACCGGAACCTCCCCGGAGACTCTGAGAGGCACGTTCTGCCAGACCCACGGCACCGACAGCCAAATGGAGGCTTCAGGGGCCCAGGAGCTGGAGACCGAGCCTTCCCCTCGCCGGGGTCCGGCCTCACGGAGACCCGCCGTCCTCCCTCCACCCGCACCGTCTCATTCCGCGCTGACAGCCAGGGGGGAGCGGGGCTGACAGGCGGGTGATGGATGGTGTTTGCTCATCCCGGCTCGGCAGGTACGGCACAAACGCAATTAGGAGCGCGTGTCTGTGCGCGCCTGCGGCTCACACGCCGGCCCGGGGGACATCAGGGAGGAGAGAGACTCAATTTGCACAGCCTCCCTGCCCCCCCCCCGCCGCCCCCTGCCCCCCGCCGTGCGGCTCGCGCACCTGAATCCGGAGACCGAGGAGCATTGATCGTTTGGGTTTCTTTCCCTGGCTCCATCGCTCACCCTTTTTTTTGGGGGGGGGGGGCGGGTAGGAGCACCCCAATGTTCCTCTGCACCCCACAACCCCCCCACCCTGGCTCCTCACCGGAATAAGAAGAGCACCCCGTCTCTTACCAACCAGGCCGATGGGCTCAGAAACAGGACAGAGAGCAACGGCAGGGCCCCTGGGACCCGGTTCGGCCTGGGCCGGGTTTCGGGGTTTGGGGGAGAGAAGAGTGGACCCCCCACCAGGGTGCGAACCCGGAGCGGCCAAGAGCCACCACACAGGGCCACACAGGGCCCCAGCGGGTGCGGACAGGCAGAGAGCTGAGGAGAGGATGCCACACGCGACTCCTGGATCCAGCCTCGCCCAACGGCGCTTTAGGCATGGTGCCAGCGTCCCCGACAGACACGGGCACCCACGGGCGGTCTCCCCGTATCTCAGCAATCGTTCGCTCCATGGCTGGGAGCCGGACCTACCCAGCAGGCCTTCCCTGCTTACAGCCAGACCCTGGTCTCTGATTTTTAAAAAAATATATATTTTATTGATTTTTTTACAGAGAGGAAAGGAGAGGGGTAGAGAGTTAGAAACATCGATGAGAGAGAAACATCAATCAGCTGCCTCCTGCACCCCCCCCCCACTGGGGATGTGCCCGAAACCAAGGTACATGCCCTTGACCAGGATTGAACCCGGGACCCTTCAGCCCACAGGCTGACGCTCTGCTCACTGAGCGACACGGGTCAGGGCCCCCGCACAACACCATTTTTATGGGAATCGCTATGAGGACAGAGCACGTGAGTGGGGGCCGGGGCCTGTGAGGCGGGGGAGGAGGAGGCGATACAGGGGCACAGAGGAGCGTCAGGGTGACAGAAACGGCCTGTACCGGTCCGAGATTCTCTCTCATCACCGATGTTTCTATCTCCTCTTCCTCTCCCTTCCCCCCCGAAACCGATACACATACACATTTTTATAAGAGAAACTCATCCGTCCACGGAGCCAAATACCAGTAGCCCAACGATGGACGTGTCTTCGCCGGGCCACGTTTTTTAAACGTAAACGTCTTCCCACGCCGCGTCTTCCACACAGACTCGCCCTCCAGGGGCCAGAGAGCCGCGTGTGGCTCGGGAGCCGCGGTTTGCCGACCGCGGGGCTATCCTTTACCCGAAGGTGTTTCCATCCGCCCAGACGTAGCCCTCGGTCCTCAGGGGCCGCGGGCAGACCATCCCCGGACCCGCTGCCCGCAGACAGAGCCGCTGTGAGCACAGCCATCAGCGCCCCCTCACCCGCTAATCCCTCAGTTACTGCGCGACGGCGCCTGTGTGTTAACCCGCCCCGCAGGCCGCGGCGAGGACACCCGGTTCCTCCGAAGGCCCCCTCGGTGGCGAAGGCGCTCAGGAGGCGCTGACATGGGCGTAGCTGCGGGTTCGACCTCCGTCTGCCCTGCCCGACCTGCCACCTGCCACCCGGGGACCTCCTCACAGCGAGTCTTAAAACGAACCAACAAGAGCGGGAGAAGCCCTGACCCGTGTGGCTCAGTGGATAGAGCGTCGGCCTGCGGACTGAACGGTCCCGGGTTCGATTCCGGTCGAGGGCATGTGCCTTGGTTGCGGGCACATCCCCAGTGGCGGTTGTGCAGGAGGCAGCTGGTCGATGTTTCTCTCTCATCGATGTTTCTAGCTCTCTGTCCCTGTCCCTTCCTCTCTGTAAAAAAATCAATAAAATATATTTTAAAACAAAAAAACACCCTGACCCTTCAGAAGACGCACCTGGCGACAGCGCCCCCTGGCGGCGGGGAGACGCCTGCAGGCGCCCCCTCGGGCGGCAGGTGCCCGGTGCTCGGAGAGGCGCTGGGGAAGGACGTTTCCATTTGGGGAAACTAAGTCCCGGAAAGGCTCGAACCCGGAGCCAACGGTAGAACGAGGGCCCCGGCTGCCGGGAAGGTCCACCCTCCGGGTCGAGCGGGACGGTGTCGCCCGTCCCTTCCGGACCCGCACACGCCGGCTGCCCCGGGGAGGGGAGAGAGGGGGCCGGGCTCCCGCGCAGCTCCGTCCGGCGGCGGGTCCGAGGCGCGCGGCCCTGGGAAGGGCGTCCCGGGCCTGGAGGCGGCGCGGGGCCCATCGCGGGGTCCTCCCGGGTCTCCCCAGCCCGGGTCTTCCCAGCCGGGCCTCCCTGCCCGGGGGCGCAGCGGGGGCGCAGGGGGCTCCCCGGGTCCCCAGGGGGGCGCGGGCGCCACACAGGCCGAGGGGTCCTCCCGCAAACAACAACAACAACAACAACAATAATAATAACAATAACAATAATAATACTGACAACAACAGCGACGGCGGCCTCGCGGGCTCCGGGCCCCTCCGCCTGCGCGCGGGTCCCCAAGGCGGAGGGAGGACCCGGAACCGGGGCCGCGGGGGAGGGGGGGTCTGGTCCTGCACGCGCCCCCGTCCCAGACCCCTACCCAACCCGGTGCCCGGGGTCCCCGTCCTCCACCCCGGGGCCTCCCGGCGGCCGGTCCCGGACACACACCGGGCGGGCCGGGCGGGCGCGGAGGCCGCAGAGCAGCGGGTCCCCCCGCGTCCGGGCTGCCAGCGCCGCGCGGGGCCGCATTGGAGCCGGGTCTCCCGGAGCCGGGTTTGGGGGGACACACGCAGCGCCCCTCGGCCACGCCCCCCGCCCCCCGGAATCTCCCGGATCCGCTCCGAACCCCGTTCGCTCCAGATGCACAGCCGCGGGGCGCAGCGGGGAGGGGCCGCCCCGCGCCCGCCACCGCTCCCCCCGGGGACCAGCCCCCGCCGGGGTCCCCCCGACACATGCCTCCGGACCCCCCGGTTCCCCTCGGCCCCCCGCCCCCCGCCCCGGGCCCGGCCTTACCTCCGCCCAGCAGCGCGCCCAGCACCAGGCTCAGCCCGCACAGCGGCGCCACCGGCCCGGGGGCCGCGCCGTCGGAGCGCATCCCGAGTCCCGCTCAGGCCGCCGGCCGCCCGCCCCCCGGCCCCGCCGGCCCCTTCGCCCCCGCCGGCCGCGCCATTCCCTCCCGGGCGGCCCGGCTGCGGTGCGGCTCCGGCTCCGGCTCCGGCGGCAGCGGCTCTGCTCCGGCCCCGACAACTTTTCTCCGCGGCTGCCGCAGCCCCGGGCCCCGCCCCCCAAGGCCCGCCCCCAAGGCCCGCCCCCAAGGCCCGCCCAAAGGCCCGCCCCAAAGGCCCGCCCCAAAGGCCCCGCCCCAAAGGACCGCCCCCAAAGGACCGCCCCAAAAGGCCGCCCCCAAAGGCCGGTCCCCAAAAGCCCGCCCCCCCAAAGGACCGCCCCCCCAAAGGCCCGTCCCCAAAAGCCCGCCCCCCCAAAGGCCCGCCCTCCCAAAGGCCCGTCCCCAAAAGCCCGCCCCCAAAGGACCGCCCCTCAAAGGACACCCCCCAAAGGCCCGCCCCCCAGGCCCGCCCCCCTCAGGCCCCCCCCACCAGCGGCGGCGGAGGAGAAAGGCGCCCCCCAGCGGGCGTGAGGACGAGCAGGCACGGAGGGGAGGGCCGCGGGCCGCCCCCCACACCCCCAGGCAGCCCCCCCCCCCCCCCGTTTGCAGCCTCCCGCCTCCGAGTCCCGGAGGCCTCTGCGCAGCTGCCCAGGATGGAGCGGGACCCTTCCCCGCGCCTCCTGCGGGGGGTTACTTGTTTTGGGGGTGTTTTTGTGGGTTTTTTGGTTTGTTTTTGCTTTGGGAGCCAGGAATGTGGAATTACAAAGTCCCTCGCAGCTGGTGCGGAAAGACCCCCTTAGGTGGGTAAAAGCAGCACACAGAGCAGTGCAGAGCGGGGTCACACACGTGTACACACATGTGCATACATGTACACGCATGCACACAGAGGGGCGCGCCTCTCTGGAACCCTGGGGCGCGGGAGTGAAAAGGAAGGTCCTCTGTCACTCTGGGTCCTGCTGATCGTGTGTATGTGTGTGTGTGTGTGTGTGTGTGTATGTGAGACATTTCTATAGACTTCAGAGGAAGGGAGAGAGAGAGAGACATCCATGAAGAGAGAACATGATCAGCGGCGGCCCGCACGCCCCACACCAGGGATGGAGCCCACAATCCGGACACGTGGCCCTGACCGAATCCAACCGTGACCTCCTGGCTCAACCCCTGAGCCAGGCCTGCGGGCCAAGTACTCCCTCTTTTATATTTTATTTTATTTTTTATTACTTAAGCCGTGGAGACCTGGCTCTGCCTTCTCAGCGGAGCGGGCACTGTTCGGTGCCAAAGGGAAAGGCATGGTTTTATTTGGGGGGCGGGGGAGGGGCGGGAGCGTGGGGGGGACACAGAGCAGGGGTGGGGGGGCAGGAGGAGAGAGGACCGGCCGCTCCCGCCCTCTCAGTCGGAAGTAATCGATCTGTTGTATTTCTCGCCGACGAGGCCGGAAATATTTAATGAGAAATGTTTTCTCTCCAGTGACTCCAGGCTGACAAATGACAGCGAGAGGGGACGCGTCCTCCCTGTGGGGAGGGGTCCGCTGTGTCTGTTCCCGCAGCCGCGCCTGCACCCCGGGGAGGAGCCAAGAGCCGGGGTCCCTCACTGCACCATTCCCTCCCCAGGACCACGGGCGCCTGGTGTCCGAGTGGGGGATACCAGGCGCCCGTGGGGACCCGCTGGGACCCGCCCGGCCTGTGGGGGGAGCTGGTGTGTCCAGGAGGCTGGGGTGGCTCAGGGGTGAGCGTCGACGGATGAACCAGGAGGCCGTGCAGGAGGCGGCTGGCCCGCGATTCCCTCTCTCATTGATGTTTCTCTCTCCGGCTCCCCTCCTCTCTGACATCAATAAAAAGTTGTTGTTTCTTTCTTATTTTTTTTTTTTTTAAAGAGGGAAAGCAGACACACCACATGGAACTAGGTGACCATTGACCACGAGGAGGAAGAAAGGAGCAGAGGCTGTGGCCAGGCGGGCGCGTTTCTGTCTGGAGGCGGCTGCTGCCACGGGGTCCCGGGGCTCAGGGGCCCCCGAGCCCGTAGGTGTGGCTCCTTCCTGCTCCTTCCGCCGTGGGGGCCGGCGCTTCCCTCTGCCACCCTCACCCGGGGCCCCTTTAACCCCCCGGGTCCCCCCAGACATCAAGCGCACCAGACCAGACCGGTTACCTGTCTTAAAGGAAAACCCACACAGAGAGCTGTGAGCGGGGCGGTGCCTGGGCTCAGCGCTTCCCGTGTTTATTTTCTGAAGGGCCCGTGTCATTGGACCCGCCGCCGTTAATCCTGGAGCTGGAATCACTTCCAGATGCTTCCGCGAGCTTCACCCCGAACATCAGAGGCCGAGGACCCCCTCAGAGCCGCGGGCGGGCCTCCCCGCTCCGGGCACACGGAGAGCATTAGCGTGATGGATGGGGGTGGGGGGTGACTGGGGAGAGGAACCATCTGTTCGCCAGGTGCCCGGGGCCCCCAAGTCCAAGAGGCAACTGCAGGGTTCTTGCTGCTCAGGCTCCAGTTCCTGGTTCCCAGTCTGGCCGGCGCGGCGGATGCAGCAGCGGCAGCAGCCGCCACGTGCAGACTGTGGCTCGGGGAGGTCTCATGGGTCCGGGCTGTTATGGCTGAGGATGAGGGCGGCACAGGCTAAGTGTTGGCCTCACGAGGCAGCTATGGTCATGGGCAGGCCTCACGCGGAACTTCCTAAGAGAAATAAGAAGGAAGGAAGCGAGAGGAGGAGGGAGGGGGAGGGAGGGGGAGGGAGGCACTATGTTTTGACGCTCCCCGCCAGCACGTTCTGAAGATAAGCACAGACATCCTCTCCGCTGGCGCTCACCGGGTTTTATTTAGTCCCTCCGCAGACACCCGTCTGTCGCTCACCGAGGATCCGGCCCGGTGTGGGTTCCGGCGGCGAGAAAAACAGATGATGATCCTTAACTGGCAGGTTTGAGGTCCTGGGACTGCGGTTGGCCCACCGTGGCTCTCTGGCCCCTGGAGGGCGGCTCTTCCACAAAACACCACGGCCTGGGCCAGTCTGTGTGGAAGAGGTGGCGCTGGAAGAATTTACGTTTAAAAAATGTGGCTCTCCAAAGGAATGTCAGTCGTTGTCCTGCTGATGTTTGGCTCCGTGGACTAGTGAGTTTGCCGACCACGGGCCTAGGAGACGAAAGGAAATGGACAGCACACGCACCCTCTTCACATAAACATGAAGCCAAGTGATGGGAGGGCCCCGGTGAGGGGACTGGCTGTGGGGAGGGTGGGCGAAGAGGGAGTGGGTAAGCTGTGGGGTTTCCCGGGGCGGGGGGGGGGGAGAGGGGGAGAGAGAGGGGGGGAGAAAGAGGGGGAGAGAGAAAGGGGAAGAGAGAGGGGGGGGGGAGAGAAACATTGATGTTAGAGACACATTGATTGGTTGTCTCCTGCAGGACCCCAACCGGGGGGCAGAGGTCAAACCTGCAACCCAGGAACCTGCCCTGGACCGGAAATTGAACGTACGACCCTCAGGTCTGCAGGCCGGGGCTCTACCCACTGAGCGCACAGGCCAGGGCTCCCCGGCCTTTTCCAGCCCCTCCTGGCCGACCTCCGGCCCTCACAGGTGAGCTGGTTTCTGGGCGGACAGACACCCAGTTCCCCTGAGATTCCCATTATCTCTCCCAGGCTCAGCCCCCGTCTCCCCCGACACTTTCGGATGATCAAACCCAAAATACAAGGAGGGAAAAAAAAAAAAAAAAAAAAAAAGGCTTGACCTTCCCATGGGGGCCGCCCACACTGTGCTGCTGCCGCTTGGAACAAAGCGCCGCCAATTCCGTTAGTTTAGGGCGAGTCGCCTGCAGATGGTTAGAGAGCCAGCAGCGCCCCCTGGCGGCGGCGGCCGGCCTTTCCCGCCGGCAGAGGCGGGAAAGCTGCTCAGGTTTCTGGGTTTTGAGCCAAAGTGGGAGGCGTGGTGGGCGGGGCGGCTTGAGCTGCGTCCTCACACTGTCCACGCATGTCCTCCTCCTCACGAGGCCAAAGGCAAAAGGCACGGCACGAAGCGCCCACATGGATGCGGAGGGGGAGGGGGAGGGGGAGAGGAGGGAGGGGGGAGGGGAGGGGGAGGGGGGTAGATTGTCATTCTGATCTCATGGGCGTGCGGGAGGATTCACTGACCAAGGAAGGGCCAGCTCTTGGCCCAGCTGGCGTGGCTCAGGGGTTGAACGTTGACCTATGCACCAGGAGGTAAGGGTTCGATTCCCGGATGGCGGGCCTCGGGCGCTGGCCTGTGGGCCAGGGGATCTCCTGGAAACCCCGTGGCCGCTCCCCGTGGCACCCTCTGGCCCAGGGGCGGGGCGCGGGGACCAGGCCAGAGAGCAGAGCGGCCCTTTCTCTGACCCACACCCCCCTGCCTCCCCGGGCGATGGGAATGGGGAGAAGCCGCCCCCCCCATCCGGGTCCCGCGTCGGCGGCGCCTGAGAAACCAATGAGGTATAAAATCAGAGCGCGGCGCCCGTCACAGAAATAATGGAAAGCCCCGGGGGCCGCTGGGAGGCGGCAGGAGGACACAGAAGGATGCAAGTGTCAAGGTTAAAAAAAAAAAAAAAAAAAAGCACCGTCTTTTTTCTCTTTCTCACCCGCCCCGGGGCGCGGCGGGGAGCGCCGTCCTTTCGATGGTGACTCCGTTGGATTCTGTAAAAGACCCGATCGCCGGCAACCTGGGGGTCCCTCCGTGGCTCCTTGGCAACCAAAACGGCCGAGAGGGTGACGGAGGGGGCGGGGCACCCCGTAGGGCGTACGAAGGTGTGTCATCATTACGCAATGTGACCTCAGTGAACGCCCTGACCGGTGTGGCTCAGTGGATAGAGTGTCGGCCTGTGGACTGAAAGGTCTTGGGTTCGATTCTGGTCAAGGGCGTGCCCCTTGGTTGCGGGCACGTCCGCGGAAGGAGGTGTGCAGGAGGCAGCTGATCAGTGTTTCTAACTCTATCCCTCCTCCTTCCTCTCGGTAAAAAAAAGAAAAGAAATCAATAAAACATATATTCTTAATAAATCTTC